CTATTAGGTTACTATGCAACTCACACGATACAAATATTGGAAGAAACAACAACAAATACTAAGGCACCTATGTTACTAAAGTTACACAACAATTCCTCACCTTAAGGACCTTAGCACTTCATTTGTATGACTTGATTGTATCCTCAGCCACATAGCAGGGGGCTTTGCAAGGATGTAATTTATAACTTCATCATTCAGAGATTGTTGTTGTTGTATCTGGTTATCTGCTAACTCTTTCGGCTCCCTTGTGATATGTGCGCCAGTGACCTCATTGCTAGAAAAATTTGGAGCATTATCACCTTCAAATAAAGGCAACTGTTCCTCCCCTTCCGTGAGGTTAATATTTGTTGCAGAATACTCTGTAGATCTGCTTTTCTCACATAGGCAGGCCAAAAGGGAATCCCTATCCATGATATCACTAAAAGCATTATAAATTCTACCTAGGAACGTAACTGCATAAGAAAACATAACTGGTGGTATTCTGCCTACATCAGCATTCAAGAGTGGAGCAGATATAGAAAGAATTAACAGTGCAGCTATCCTTGCACTATCAAATTCTACATTTCCTTCCAAAGCCGTTTCTACCTGTAAAAGCGAAAACAAAAAGTAATCAGTGCCACTACTTCAAAGAAGTTTAGGTACATCTGTCTCATTGACATGCAAAATATGTGAAAGGATCAAGAAGTTCTTGTGTATATGATTATATGCAATAATCCGAACAAGCGCACCTCTTCAAACGTGTCCTTCATAATCAGCCTTACAAATTTCTTGTGATTTCGGCCCAGATGAGAAAAAGTAGAAAATACATCAGCTTCATCCTGGAAGCACCAAAGTTAAAAATTAAATGGAATATAGGTTGGTTAAAAAGTAGTTGCATTGAGAATCATGGCTCCAACTTCTGAAAGAACAGGATTACCCCTTAGTGAGAGGGATGACTTTGTAGCACATGAGCAAGCAATTAAGCGGGGGGGCAACAAAAGAGGTTGCGAGACTGCCCACAACAGAAAAGTTGTTTCACTTAATACAGGATCACTTCACACCTCTTTGTCTGGATGGTATAATGAAAAGTGAGGGAATGCAAAAAGAAAGAGAGAATAACTTTCTTTGAAGGGCCATTAAATGTTCTTCAGTTAATGGCTGGTTTTGAATGCGGGGGACTACTTTGGTATGTAGTCCACCCATGCTGTGGTTAGTCTAGTTTTCACTTAAATAATAATATCTATAACTCTGTTTATATTATCCTGTTCTTCTACACATCTTTATGGCTATTACTAATAATTTTGAAGCCATAACAAAAAGTTAAACCATGATGGAATATCAAGACAAGGATGCAGCAAAGATAAAAATATTATGTAAAAGGGTGAATAATACAAGTAATTAAGGATATTCTTCTCAAGGGACACGTCTTTAATTGAGAACATCTAAAATTGCCAATGGTGCACTGTGAAAGAAGAGATGATGATGCAAAACACAAATTATTGCATATTTAAAAATTAAAAACAGAAAATAAAATGGATAGAAAATGGTTAAAAGATATATTCATATGCAGTCAAGGTCCTCAAGGATATAGTACGCTATTGCCTGAATGGTGAAATAAAAGTACATGTAGTATATATAGGTATTTTTGCAGATAAAATGACCTCGAATATTGACAAAAATAAAAAATTAACTAGAGATTTTACGTAGCCATTGAAAATATAAAAGGCAAATGGAACCGAGTATAAAGCAAACCTGTGGATAACTGTCTAAATTTCGCAGGAGTCTATCAACAGATGATTTGAACAATGCCAGATTGTTTAGCTTCATTACTTTAAGTATTTTCCTATAAGTATATCTTACATCCCAACTATCATCTACCAGAGCTCCAAGAAACTGAAAAATAAAATGAAAAATATATTACTAATATCAATTATAAAGTGCATTATATATACAAGTAATGGCATTAGGTGAGTCAGTTAGAGAAAAATTCACGATTTTGGCAAATTAGGTTTCTTGAAAAAGATTAAGATTAATCAAGAATTCAACTAAGAAAACACTCAATATCCATAACAAGTATCAATAAAATCCCCACCACTGATTCATGCTGTTGGTCAGGTCTTGTTTATTAAAAAGACTTTATCAGCTGAAACTTAAGGACTATCCAAGACAGCTTTTAGTAAAAATGTTTCTTCCTTTTAGAAGAGGAAAAAACCATAACAGTCCCCGGTATTTGATTTGATCACCGATACACAAACAATCATTCTTTTCAGTTTGGCAAACCACAAACAGGCAATCTAACCATTGGTCCCAACAAAACTAACCTTTTCCATGCACCCTGCTAGTCATTCTTCACTTTCCAAATGTAATTTGGTCAACCCAAGGGACCTAGTTCATTCTACAAATCTACTGAAAAGCTTAGGGCCATTTGGTTTGAGAAAACAATTTCTATTTTCACTTTTAATGATAAAAATGTCGCATTAATTTTACTTGGTTTTCTATTTTCACAAGTTTGTAATATGTATAGGACATGGTGGAAAAAAAAAACAATAAAAGGTTATTGTCAGTGATTCCTTCACAGACTTTTGAAATAGTGAGAAAATGAAAACAAAATGGAACTTTTGTTATTAAAAACAAAAATAGAGAATGAAGACTACATCCAATTAATTTAAAACCATAACAACTATAACCCTACTTATTTTCCAGGAAAATAATCACACCACTAGCAAAACTCCTTAACCATAAAACTTCCAAATAAAACATTAGATTTTTCCCCCAAATTTTGTCCTACCTCCTAGCACAGTAAAATTTCCGAATTAGAAAAAGAAAAGAATACAAATAACCAATAAATCTCCATACAGCAATATGAAGAAGGTTCCATAATTTGTCCAACATGAGATGCATCTTGCAGTTTCAAAGAAAGGAAAAACCGTAGGCACTAAAATACATACTAGAAATAGAGCAAAATGATTAATGGAGGATCAGAAACACACCATGTGCAAATGTTTTTCATGAAGCTTTAAACGGCCATTAATTGCCATATGGTGCATGGTTTCTAAAGCTTGTAAGCGAACCACCGCAGAATCATCATTCAACACATCCATTAATGAGTCTAACGCTTCACGTGCAAACTCAGCAGATAGACTTGTCAGTGTGTGTAAGGACTCACATACAGACTTCCTCACCTTCATATCAGGCACAAATGAAGAAAATATTATCAAACAATCACACAAGGAAAAAACACTATAACTATACCAGATTATTGCTGTCAATTTTAGATAAACCTCTACTAACACGGGGTTTTCAAAAGATACCTCAAAGAACTCATCCTCAAGTCCATGAACTAGTGCACCAGCAACACTACTTGCCAACATGACACATTGTTCAGATGTGCTCGGACTCTCGGTTTCCTTTTGCTTTCCACGTCCTGAAACTCTCTTTGCTAAACTTTGCAAAAGAAGATCCTCCGATACCATTTCCATCTTTCTGAGGCCATTAAATGCTTCAACTCTAACCTTCATATTCATATCTCTTGCCATGGAGCATAGCTATATGAACATACATACTGTGAATGAGTTACGTCATACTGAGGCAACAACAGTCCGAAATTCTAGAAAACTAAAACAGATACGTAACACCAAAAAACTTGAAACATATGAAGCCCAATACTACACCTTGGCAAATACGTCATTGGACCAATAGGCTTTCATCTCTGAGCTAGAAGCTGCCAACATCATACCCCATGAAGCCACCTGGAATATATAAGCATACATCATTCAAAGACTTACCACCATCAACTAGCTCAAAACAGAATATTAATCATTCGACAATTGACTGAACTCAACAAGAACACTATCTGATTGACACTAATACTAAAATATCAGATTTTCTCATTTCTAATATTTCCGCAACACAATAACTAGCAATAATAAAAAAGGACTTGACACTTCGTTTAAATGTCATCTAAAAGTATTCCCTACATCACATTGGGCATTGTCTGTTGGTGATGTAGATTATATCAAATTAATCTTAAATGCAGTACATACTCTCATTCTAAAAACGAGCACTTCTACATCATATTGGCCCTTCGTTTATATATCCATTGGTCTTCAAATTACTAGAAGACCAATTTCATGGTATTAACCGACTGAAATACTATGATGTCACCATGGTTTTAAATGCGGTTCACTGCAGTCATCGTATTGCAGTTATCGTATTGCAGTTTTTAAATACCAGCAATTTGTCCACAATTTCAATAATTATTATAGTTAAAAATCATGGGCATCACTATATATTGACAACTTGTATAATTGAAATATACTTTAATAATATAAGGTCATTTTAAAAATTTCTCCAAAAAATTAATTTGAAAGTCACCTTTAAGGAATTCGTGTTCAAACTTAAAATCTCCTTTCAAGTTAACTATCCTAAAAAAAATATCTACACTGTAGTTGCAGGATTTATCAGCATAAACAAATAGTCGTGGTAACATGGCTGGCCAGGACCGAATTTGGCTTTCTTCGTCTTTGTGATTCTCGGAGAGAAAACAGGATCACCCAGTCTTTTTCTAAAATTTAATTAGCTTATATAATTTAATCAAATTATATAATGATCATTTTGGGTAAGAACTAATGAAAAATAAAAATCTTTAAAATTATCTTACTTTAAATTCAAAACATTCAATTAATTATTACAACAGTTAATTTATATTCTCAAATGCAAGCACTTTTAAGACCACAAATTACATTCTTAACCTCCATCTCGTTTTTGCAGAATATCATCCAGTAAAATCAAATTAAATACTTTCATCATTCTCTCTTTTTTTCACTCACTTAGGAGTGCATTCACACAAACTCTTGATCAACCAACCAAAAATTACGTCTCACAATTGATCTTCTTCACCCTCTTATTCATAATTTACTCTTTCTCTAAAATTCAAATAATTAAAAATAACCACATAAAATAATTTTAATAATTTATTAAATCTAAACTAAAACAATTATATAGGAGAATATTTATCTATTAAAATTTTATTATATATAATTCCTGCATCCAAAAGTTATCATAAATTTAAATTATGTAATTTAGTTTGTAGAATGTCTAAGTTAAAATATTAGTTTTTCCCGTTACAAGGGCAAAGCAGTAAAAATAATCTCTGATGAAATAAAGAAATTATTGGAAGAGGCAGAGTAAAGGAGGAAGAGTCTATGGCGATGAAATTGATAGCAGAAGAGATCCTTACCACGCGAACCGCAGAGTACCTTACGCAGGGATCGAAGTCCCGAAGCAACTGAACGGCGCGTCGGTAACAAGCATCGACCAAACCAACGTCTTTCAACTCTCCACCGCGCTCGATGAATTGGACGAGCCCTTCAAGCGCCGCGTCTCTAACGTAAGGGTAAGGATCCTTCGTGAACCCCAGCAGCACCGCCAACAGCAAGCCAGGTCGGACCTCGAAACTCGAACCCGCGTTCCGGAGCATCCACGCGCGGGCGGGCACGGAGGCGCCGAAGCACAGCGACGTGAAGCGCGCGTCGTCTAGATGGAGGCCCGAGAGGGACGCGCCGATGGCCTCCACAGCGAGGCGGGGAGAGGATTCGGCGGTGGGAAGAGCCATGGTGGGGGCGAGGTCGGGGTGGCGAGAAGCGCCGTCGGAGAGGAGCTTGAGGGAGTGAGTAGTGGGGTGTGGGGAGCTGGTTAGGGTTTGGAGAATGTGGGAGACGGTGCTTTTTGATGTAGAAGGGTGGAGGAGGAGGGACCTCATGGTGCAGAGGGTACGGAGAGAGAGGGTTTCGTTTTCTTCAGAAGTTTCGGGTGGATTAGCCATCGCCGGAAAAGGGATGCGACGCTGCCGGTCGTTTTGGTGGAGAAGGTGGAGCTGCTCTTAATTTTCAGATTTTCATAAGAATTTTTTCTATTTTACGAGGATAGTTTTTTTTTTTGCCAACAAAAAAACCTATTTGTTTTGTTTTGAGACCAGTTTTTTAAATGGAGGGAATGATTTTGTTTTTGGGTTAGTACTGTTTTGAAAGTAAAATGTGATAGGAAACAAAAAACGATTAAAATATAAAGTTGTTAAAGAGAGAAAGATGTAATTAAATAAAAAAATGTATTATTATCTTTTATTAATCATTGTTACACTAAAAAAAATACATTATAACAGGAGTTTATTTTCGGCGGGAAACCCTATAAATGTTCAGCGGTTTTATAGAAACCGCAAACAAATTAAAAATATATTTTTATTAAAGAAATGTTGTTTCGTTTCCCTCCTCATTTTCGCACCGGCTCGTTTTCTATTTGACTTAAAATAAAATAACATGTAACCACACTAGTTCGCGATTTTGATTTAGATTTGCAGGTGTCATGGAGGCACGAGGACTGGGTTCGAGAGCTTCGCGTTTTGCGAGAGAAAGACGATGATGGCGCTGTGTGGTGGTTGGTTGTCAGAGGTTCGCGACGACGATGTGGGGATGATGATGGAGGATCTCTATTTCACAGTGGCTTGCGGTGGTGAAAATGAAGCTTGCGATGGTCTGGTTCGAACTCAAATTTGGAGCTTTTTGTTTCTAATTTGGGATTATCTGCAATTAAGGCTGGCCACTTGCTCGAAAGGTGGAGAATGACCATGATGGTCTCGTGGTTGCCTCAAAGATGAGGCTCGATGATGTTGAAGGAGATGGTTATGAAGGCGCTGATGAAAAATGGGTTTTGTGGTGTTTCACAGGTGATTGCGGTTTTGATTCGGACCAACCATTACCTGAAGGGAGAGGCATCGTGGAATATTGTATGGGACATGCGGCCGGCGCGGTGGCTCCATCGTCCTGATTCCGCGTGGCTCCATAGTGGAATGTTGCATGGGTTCTGGTTAGTTATATTTATAGAATAAGGTTTTAAATTATGGTCATTGCAACTTTTAATGTTCGATAAGTCTGGCTAATGTGACTGCCATCATGTAGATGGTATAGTTATATGAAGTCAAAAGTTTCAGTAACAAAAAGGAATACTAAAAAATATAGTATTGTTCTGCATAATTTAAGTAAACCATATCAGTTAAAATTGGTGGGTTTCATATGTTTACTAATGATTTTTTTCTTGATTTTTCAAGTGTATCTGAAAAACCATATTCTTAACACTTCTCATAAATTTGAATTTGACATAATATGCGAAAATATCATCGAACATTTTTTGTTTATGTCCAGGACAAACATATAGTAAATCCCTAATTCAAGTTATCACTCAACAGAAGATTAAAAGAGGTGATGAATATCTTTCAAAGTGAAAAGGACAAAATAGAAGATATACACACACACCTTAAGTGGCACTTCTAGAAATTAGTAAAATAGCATAAAAAACGAAGATTGTAAGTTTTCTGGTAGCAAACAGGCTATATAAAAATTCAGAATAAATCTTCTTTCCACTACCCCTGCTCATATAGACAATGCTCAAGACATTTATCGAATCGTGGATTATATCAGTAACTAGTATATGATATGGTGAATAATTTTCATTTTATCAACTTGAAAAATTAAATTAGATCTTAAAGTCTTAAATAAATTAAAACCCAATTTAGTTATTAAAAGACACATTCTGAAAAATTAACTATTTAGATCACCAAACTGCAATTATTTGGAAAACATATTTATTGAATGTATACGTTTTACAAATAAATTAATCAAATTGGTGACAAATATGTGCTTCTACTACGTATCAACTCAAATCTCCAAAGGTTTTGAGCAAGAATTTATTCACAAAGTATTATCAATAAACATCAATTTAGAGTTATTTTGGCATGTATCTGAGGGTGTCTTCAATGCATGTTCTGGGGTATGCATTTTATGGAATGTTGTTTCTATTGGATGTCGTGGCCGTAGAAGGCTCATTTCTTTAAGCAAAGCCTTATAGAAAATAAACTCTGAGGACCCTAACCTGTATAAAATTCACATCCTAGTCATCAAATTAAATTGCAAAACTAATACAATCAAACACGTTATTACACCAATCTAGGAAGGTGAAAACTACGAAACTGAATTTAGCAGATAAGCAGGACCAAGACTAGATTTTGATAAAATCTAATTAGCAAGGAAATTAAATCAGAAGCCCCATTTCTAAAATCTTATCGACCAACCTCTAAGCCAAATCAAAGATATCATAAAATTCGCCACATCTTCTAAGAACTTGTCACTGAAGAACAATTTGAAATAGAAAAGAGAAGTCCTCCTTATGAATAGAAAATTATATTCTGTGTTGTACATGACAGAATATGCTGCACGGTTTATTTCTAGTTTCCATTAATTACATTGATGGATTGTTTAACGTTCATGAACTCACAGGGGTTCAAAATGTCATACTATGCAGCACGATTTTTCGACAGGCAAATGAATTCCACTTGGCTCTTTGCTTCAGCTCAGTCAAAGTGGTATAGCAAACACCAAGAAATGAAAGAATTCACTGCGAATTTGGGTCAGAAATCGAGGAGAAAACTGAAAGGTGAGTACTAATTAAAATTTATCTTGTTTTTCTTTTCTTTTTCTCATTTTAGTTGTGCAGTGCATGAGTAAGTTATAATGGTTATGATATTATATGAGTTATTAGAGACCGAAGTAGGCATTGAAATGGTGAATGGAAGGCCTTAAGGAAGTGTTTTGGTGTTTGCATTGTAGGTATGAGTTGGTATATTGTAGAGGAAGCTTTGATGATGGACGGAACCAAGAAAGTACAAGTGAAGCTGTGAATGCGTACTATTCAGCAGCTTTGGTGGGTTTAACATATGTTGACTCACGTCTTGTTGCCACTGGATCAACGCTATTGGCGATGGAAATTCTTGCTACACAAATTTGGTGGCATGTGAAAGTTGAAGACAACATGTACAATAAAGAATTTGCAAAAGACAATAGGATAATTGGTGTTCTGTGGTCTAATAAGAGGGATAGTGCATTATGGTGGGCCGTTGCTACATGTAAAGAGTGCAGACTTGGAATCCAAGTGCTACCCTTGTTGCCTATCAGTGAGACATTGTTCTCTGATGCTGCTTATGTGAAGGAGCTTGTGGAATGGACACTTCCATCTTTAAGTAGTCAGAGTTGGAAGGGAATGACCTGTGCCTTGTAGGGAATTTACGATAAGCAATCAGCATTGTGTATCATAAGAACATTGACAGCTTTTGAAGGTGGAAACTCATTCACTAATCTCTTGTGGTGGATTCACAACAGATAATTATGGAGTCGTGATGCGCATAACTTTGAATAAATAATGTTTCAACTCAATAATCTAAGTTGAAGCAACATATGCAACCTCGAATCTCATCTCAGTTTTGTTAGTTTATGATTATGGATATCAATTTAATAAAATATTTTATAGACTTTGTTCCTTGTTACAGTGAAGTTAAACAATCTAAAACTAATTTTATCACAAAATCATTTTATTACAATCAAAAACTAAAAGAAGAAACATATGTACACATTTCTGGCGGTTTTAGAATCTCGATTAGGTTTTACCGACAATTATATCTAACCCCAGTTAGGTTTTACTGGCGATTTTATCTAACCTCGGTTAGTCCGGCGGTTACAACAAAACTTTCGCTAATTCCGGTGGTTCTAGCAAAATTCTTGCTAATTCCGACGGTTCTAGCAAAACTCTGCTAATTTCGACGATTTTCTCAAAACTTTTGGAAATTGCGGAAGTTTCTTAAAAAACCGTCGGTAATTACTTAGCGACGCAGTTTTTCCAAGGAATTTTCCTAACCCCGAGTAATGTACTTTGTAGGGTTAAAACCGCTAGAAACAAAAAAAATAACTCCTGGTAAAAATTTAAATTTTTATAGTGTTAGTAGAGTGTTACACCCTCACCACCTAATTGCTTCTTATACCTCTTCAATTTTTTTTAATTCTAAAATTATCTTTTTTATTTATCATTTACCTATTTTACTTTTTTTTTTGTTAAAACTTTAATTCTCTACCTCTCATTTTCTCGTAGTCTCACACCCTCCCACCCCCCATTCTCACTTTCTCTCCATTTTCGTTTCTTCTCCTACCATATTCCCTTCTTCCCCCTTCTCCATTTTTATTTTCATTTTCTTCTTTCTTTCTTCCCCATTTTGTTGTGTTGGAGGTGCGTTGGTGGTGCGTCGTTCGTGGTGGTGCTGGTTTGTACTGTGGAGTTTGACGCTTTTTGTTTGGTCTCGAGAGGCTAAGGTTTCTTTGCTATGCTTGTATGCATGATAGATAGCATGACAAATTGTTTCATTAATGTATTTGAATGTATATTATGTGTGTTGTGTTCTATGATGGTGTGCCTGCGTTTTTTTTGTGTACAAAAGAAGAAGATAACTGCGAAGGTCTCAACGGATATGACAAATCTGGTGAGGCCTTCGCTGTTTCTTTTATTTTTTTTATTAGTTTTTAGTTTATTAATTTATTATTTTGTAAATTAATTTATATATAGTATTTAAATTAATTGTTTTATTTATAATTTGTTACGTAATTATAATTAAATTTATTTTATTTTATTTAATGAATTAATTATTATTAATTTAATTATAGTTAATTGATTTTGTTTTGAATTTTTTTATTTTTAATTAATTGTGTAATTGTTTTATTTATTTAATTTATTTATAGTTATTGAACTAATATCTATTTGATTATTCTTGTAGTATTTTTATATGTATTGTGTTGTTTAATTCATTAATTGTGCTTTTATTTAATAAATGTTTTTGTGTCAGAAATAACAAGAACACGTAGTGCATCTAGTTCTCGAAGAGAGAGTTATGTTCAGGGCGAAGCTAGGAGAAGATCTACTGCATCCGCTTGGAGAAGGCTATCAATTATAATAATTAGTTTTAAATTATAATAATTAGTTTTTATTAGCCAATTTCTGTATATCTACTTTCCCTTTATTTAGGTTAATTGTTAGAGCTAAATTGGTGGAGTTTGTTCCCTTTACTCTTTCCACTCAGGTTATCAATTTGTATATTTATATCACTGTAATTCAATGGCAAAATCAATTCATTCAAATACTTTCTATATGGTATCAAACTAACACGATCCTCTTCATTTTTTTTTCTTCTTCAACACACAGGACCGTCTTATATACGGTGCTCTCCTCACCACTTTCTCCTCTGAGGTTGCATCCTGGTGTCTCAAACAACAACATCACATGATCTCTGGACTCTTCTCCAGCGCACCTATGCTAAGGCATCCCACAACCACCTCAATTAGTTAAAAGAGCGTCTCCACACGGCGTCCAAAGGTATCCAATCCATCACCACCTACATGCATTCTCTGAAGCAAACTGCAGATCTCCTTGCCTCACTTGACTCTCTTGTCTCCGTTGAAGACATGACTGACCATGTCTTGTGTGGCCTCGACGACGGTTACAAAGTTGTCATTGACAGCGTCAATGCAAGGGACACTACCATTCTTTTTGATGACCTCCTCGAGAAGCTTTTCATTCAAGAATTCTCTTTTACTACTGCTCAACGACAGGTTCCTGCTCCCATGACAGCCTTGAATGCACAAGCTCGACCCAACCATTATGACAAAACTCGATCTGGGAAATTTTCTGCATTATCAACTTCACGCCCTAACAATCGCAAACCGTTTCTTGGTCGCTATCAGTGGTGCAATGTCAAGGGCCATGTCCTTTCTCAGTATCACACCTTCAAGCAGCAACACCCTGGTGTCCCGATGCCTCCTCGTTCCTCTTCTGCTAACCCTAGACAGGTTCAGGTCCATACTACAACTGCCGGCACATCTCAAACTAATTTTCTGGTTAACAGTGGAGCGACGCATCACGTCACCAATGATCTTGCCAATCTCGCGCTTCATCATCCGTACAGGGGTCCAGACTCATTGTATATGGGTAACGGTTCAGGTTTAAACATCTCCATTCTGGAACACTTTTACTTAATGATTTATCCCTCTCACATACTTTGTGCGTTCCTTCCATGCAATAGAAAATCCTTTATGTCTCTCAACTCACCAAACAAACTAACTCTGCTGTTGTTTTCTTACCAAACTCTTTTTATGTGAAGAACTTGCAGACGGGTCAAACAACCCATAATGGCTAATGTGTGGATGGACTCTATCTCTGGCCAGCCAACTCTCCGTCCGTCCACTCTGTCCGCACAGACTCCTCTACTTCATGGCACCATAGACTTTGGCATCCCTCCTCTTCTATCTTCACGTTTATTCAACAACATTTTTCTTTGGGTTAAAATAAATTCCAGCAATTAGAGCGCAACTCATGTCAAATTAGCAAAAGTCATAAACTTCTTTTCCATGAATCCACTCTTAAATCATCTTATCCTTTGGAAATAATTTTCTCTGATGTATGGACTTCCCCTATTTTATCAATTGATGGTCTTCCCTACTATTGCTTGTTTGTTGATCATTTTACTCGCTATATTTTACTCGCTTGTTGAAAATTTCTTTCATCACAACATCAAAATTCTTTACACGGATAATGGTGGCGAATATATTGGTCTCCTTCCTTTTTTAAGCACTCATGGAATAAGTCATCACACCACCCCACCTCATACACCTCAACACAATCGAATTTCCGAACGCCGGAATCGACACATTGCCGAAACCGGTCTCTCTCTTCTCCACCACTCAGGTTTGCCCCTAACATATTGGCCTCACACCATGACAACTGCCGCCTATCTCATAAATCGTCTCCCAACACCAATTCTTGGGTACTAGTCACCCTATTCCAAATTACTCAAAATTAGGTCGGATTATCATAAGTTAAAGTGTTTTGGTTGTTTGTGTTTTCCCTAGATTAAACCATATGCTAACCATAAACTTGCACCAAAGTCTGCTATGTGTGTTTTTGTAGGTTACTTGACTGGTCAACATGCATACTTGTGTCTCGATCCAGCCACATGAAGGATCTACACCTCTCGCCATGTCAAGTTTGTTGAATCTGAATTCCCGTACAACTCCTTAGTACCTCAAGCCAGGCCGAGTGCAGAGCAACAACAAGGCCCACTTCAACTCTCCATACTCCATCCCATAATCCAACCCATGGTCAGTACCACTCTAAACCCATCAGAGGAGATCTCGGCTGCCCCTTCATCTTCATCCTTCCCTAACTCCCCGACTCCGGCCCAACCCTCCACTAGACACTCTGAATCCCTTCCCTCACCTCCAACCTCAACACCATCCTCACAATGTTCTGTGGCCACCATCCCAACCCGATGTCAATCCTAACAAGAGACCCCAAACCGATGAAGGTGGCATCATCACCCGGTCCAAAAACAACATTGTCAAACCCCTCAAAAAGCTTAACCTCCATGTCCAACCCTCTTCTCCACTCGAGCCCAGCACCATCACCCAAGCTCTTCGCGGCCCTGATTGGCGCTCAGCTATGCAAGCTGAGTTTGACGCCTTACACCGTAACAATACTTGGGCACTTGTCAGTCAGTCCTCTACTCAAAATTTGGTTGGCTGCAAATGGGTTTTTCGAATCAAAAGACACCCGGATGGCTCGATTGATTGGTACAAGGCTCGGCTAGTTGCCAAAGGTTTTCACCAACGCCCTGGTTGGGACAATATAGAGACATTCAGTCCGGTTGTTAAACCGGTCACCATTCACATTGTTCTCACACTTGAAGTTCGTCAAGGATGGTCCATCCGCCAACTTGATGTCAATAATGCGTTTCTTCAAGGGGCGCTCAAAGAGGAAGTTTTCATGCTCCAACCTCCTGGTTTTGTCAACAAAAGTTTCCTTGATCATGTTTGCCGCCTCAAAAAGGCATTCTATGGGCTAAAGCAAGCACCCCGCTCCTGGTATACGGAGCTTCGAGTGTTTCTACTTTCTCTTAGCTTTGTCAATTCAACTGCAGATGCATCTCTCTTCATCTACAAAAAATCAGGTTCCACACTATATTTATTAGTATATGTTGATGATATCATTATCATTGGGAGTTCCTCTACAGAGTTGTCCAACCTTATTTCCACCATTGCTGCTCGGTTTTCGCTGAAAGAAAGACCTTGGTTGTCTTAACTATTTCTTGGGCGTCGAAGTAATTCCTTTCGATACAGGACTATTTCTTTCACAAAAGAAATACATCACTGATCTACTCCATAAATCAGGCATGGCTAACACAAAATCAACATCCACTCCCTTGTCCGCCAGTGCTCCATTACTCAAGGATTTCGGTGATCTCCTACCTTGCCCAACTGAGTATCGCGCACTCGTGGGAAGTCTTCAATACTTA